CTTAGTCCGCGACCTATACGATAGGTGTCTTTCTTTAACCTACAGGATAAACAAGGACATCTATCGTATAGGCCGCGACCTGAATGCACGATGTAAACGTAGCCACTGAATGCACCCATTGTCTTTAATAGTAAAGTCACTAGATCTATAAAGTAGCGCAATTGATTTCAGAAATGTTACGTCAAAATGGCCGAAGTGAATATAGTACACGATTCCTAGAGATCCTCTAATAGGAATCGCGAAATAATGTCAATAAGGTTAGGTCGGCGATGCCATTTTTCAGCAAAAACCGGAAGTAGCGATTAATATAATACAACTGCGAACACCATCACAGTTGCAATGAAAAGACTGTTTAATGTGATACATTAACCTAATACATGTGAATCTAAATACAGTTGTCAGAAAGAAAAGTTACATTATTATATTTTTTATATTAATACTGTATTTTTCTATTAATAAAATTATATTTTCTAAAATGACTGATTGTTCTGCGCCAGACTGCAACAATTCTGCAAAAAAGGGTTATATTATGAAAATCTTTCCTCGTAATCCTGAAAAAAGAGCAAAATGAGCAGCAAATGTAGGTCGACCAAATTAGACCAACTAATGCTTCATATCTCTGCGAGGTTAGTGTGGAAAAGTATAATTTAATATTTTACATAAAATAATACTTTTTTTATTTTGTATATATTTATTTTGAAATACCATGTTTTAGAATTTAAATTTGACGCCATGACTATTTCCGATTTTTGCTGAAAAATGTCGGCACCAATAAAAATTGGAAACGTTATTTCGCGACTCTTAGATTAGAGGGTCTCTAACGATTCCAAGCATGGTGGTTGATCATCTTTTAAACTGTACTTAGGCCGGAATCAGAATACGCATTGAAGATTGAGGTTGAAGATTGAAGATTGAAATTTGACCCTATTGGCTGAATTTTAGGATTTTAGGGTTAAGACTAAAGCATAAATTAAGCATTAGTCGTTAAAAATCGTCTTGATACTTGAGGCATTTTGTTCTAAAGAGAGAAAAAAATTGTGCTTTTCTCCACGAATGCACTCCTCTTTTTTTTCGATCTAAGCACATTATGAACACGTGGTCGTAAATATTAAAAGCGATTCGAAAGTTACTATTGTAAGTAGAATGTCGGATCGTATCAAAGTATATGTATTCGATTACCGAGGAAAAAAAAGAGGAATGTCACTTTTGTGTACTCGTTTATTGTTAAACAAGATATTCTGCACATGAAAGAGTAGATGTTCATGAAAAGATAAGCCATGTTTATCGAACGTTTTCCCATCGTTTTATAGCTGACGTAACTGTAATTTTACATTATATGGTATTTGTCGTTCTTTTCCTACGTCAATGTAAAAATGCACTTTGGGGATAATCGAAAAATGGAAACGATCAACTCGGAAAGGATTATTATTGCAGTTATAAGCGGGTGTACGCGATTCAACTATCGTTTCTGAAATTGACACTGAAATTTCGAGTTAAAATTATCTCAGATAACACAAAGGTCGGTATTCATAGTCAATTCTTATATTTAAGATCGTCTTAAATAGTCTTGAAATAATCCTAAAGCAAAAACGAATTATATGAATACTAGCCAAAGTCCAAAATCTGATATAAGATATCTAAAAAAACGTTTAAAAGACGTCCTAAAGACTTTTTTTTAATAAATATATGTAATAAAATTATTATTATCAATTATTATATATTATTATATTATCTTTGTGTCTTGATTTAAACTTTGTGTTGCCTGGGACAGCACTAAAAACAATTCATCAGAAATTTTCCTTGGAAAAAAAATCGATTTTAAATTTATTAAAGAATTTATCATTAGAATTAAATTTGATTGTATCTTCATAAAAAAAAGTAAGAGAACGTAATGCGTCGCGATCATCTCGCGATCTTTTATGTAAGATCTTTTATGTTGGTTTGCGATTTCGTCTTGTTAATACGATAATGGAGTAATAATAATGTCTATTTATCTAGGAGATCATGAGCGTGAGTATGCATACGAGTACGAAAGTTGGAAGAATGTTCGCCGCTATTGTTACACGTCAGTTAGCTGTCGGCTGTCTTGGAGGGTAGTTTGGAAAAGTCCTGCGACGGAATCAGCGGAACTTTTTCCCGATTAGGCGACAATATTGCCCAAAGAGACTCGCGATAAGTGAGTCTCCTTGTACAATAAAAAATTGCTATAATAAATAATACTAATTGTAATTAATATTAAATAACGTGGAGATTAATGCTGATCGGAGAAAAAAGTAGGATCTTTTTAATTATTGAAAAATTATCTATGGGATAAGTTTTTTAAGTAAAGGAGAATAATTAGAAAAGGGGAAAAAATTGTGAATGCAAACAATTGGCATTCTTCTTTTTCCAAAGAACGAAGAAAATTTACCGAATTTTAATAGGATGATTGGCGTCAAGGAATAAAGTCATTGAAAGGGTCATCAAAATCTCAATAAATCGAGAGAGAGAGAGAGAGAAAGAGAGAGAGAGAGAAAGAATGATCGTAAAATGGAGGATTCATTGAAACGAAAGAAAAGGAAGACGATCTTCAACCCGTGGAATGATGCGAAAATTTTAACACATGTCACCTCGAACGTCGATCAAGCGTCCGATTTTGTTCATATGAAGATATTCAACACACCCGTGATGTCATCGCGAATCTACAACCGCAATCATCCTTCGGATGAGAAATACTACAATGGTACCGATAGAGCGCAATTTGATTATTTAAAGACTAACAACACTATCCCGTCGTACTCCGTCAACACTGTGCACCTACAGAATCCCTATAAACCACCCCAACAGCTGGAGGGATTCGCGTCTCATGATCACTTGAAGGTAAGATTAATATCCACGAAGTTGTCTTCGTTCATCTTCCAAACAAAGAAGTTAAACGTGAGAAGAAACGCACACGAAAAGAACGGTTTTACTGAACATCTAAAAATTTAGCCGGATACAAATTTGAAAATAATTTTGTTTTTTATTTAATTATTTTGATAATCCAACAAAATTATTTTTAAATCTGTATCTAGCCTTTCCGTATTATTAAACATTTCGTTAAATATTAGATTTAATATAGTAAAATTGTTCTTTCCGTTCACCATCAATCAAAGATAAGACGAATAAAATAAACATCTCAACTATGCGTAGGGTACGTATCGGTCACAAGATTTTACCCTGAGATCGAGATACAACAATAATTTGTTCGCAAAAGAAGCCGCAAACAAGAACAACGATCAAGAAGGCGAGAAAACTGAAAGGTAAAGATTCCTTTAATTAAATGCCAACAATACACATCTATCTAATCTAGTATTGCTCTTTCTAGATTGAAAACTGGAAAGAAGCATCAGAAACTCACAGAAATCAGCGAACTTGCCAAGCAGTATTGCTCGTGTAGCAGTCTTCACGGTTTACGTTACGTCGGTGACTCGGGATTGTCAATCGTAGAGAGGTATAAAATTCTATATCAATTTAAAACTTGCATAAGTTTTTTCCAATTCTTCGAGTTTAAAATACTACAAAGCAGAAAAGTATCGTAAAATTTGAAATAATTTTTCGTATCGAGATGCGATTTTCAATATAACAAAATTATCATTTTTTAAATATGTTGTAAAAAATGTTATTTATATTTTAAAATTTATTATATTATTATTATATATTATAAAATCATTATTATATATTATAAAATTTATTTTATATATTAGAGAAGAAGGTGGTATTATGGCCAGTGTATATATTGTGGCCTTTCTTAATATCTCTGCTATTATATAGCGAATCGTAATGATTACTTATGGAATTATTAGTTCAGTAGCTCGTCGTTACACCATGACGCTAATATTACCAATACACAATAATCAGCACTTATTATAACGCATTTTTACTTTCAAGTATTTCGAAACGTTTTTAAGATACACTTTAGCATTTAATTACACCTATTTCCTCATTTTTCTTAAACTTGAATATTATCACATAAATATATGTATTTTTGAATGTGTTATTTGCTATTTAACATTTTATTTGACTGTATATATTTTGAGTTATACAAATTTAAACAATACCATGGCATTTTGCTAATGTGGCCCTCTATGGTATATTAATTACTCACGACCTCATTTTTGAGATTTTTATATCAAAATAGTTATTTGATAATCAATTGTAGCTCTACTGTTGATCTATAGTTTATATTACGTGTACTATTTTTACTGTACTGAGATTTTTAGTACTAAGTAGCTTATATACAGAAGTTATGTGAATGTATATATTCATTTGCATACATTTTAAAATGTTTTACTTTTTTGTTAATTATGTAACCACTGTTTTCTAAACAAAACTAATATTTTAAGGCTGTTTTTATGGAAGGCCACATTATCACGCATTTTTTTTTTTCGAGTCATTATGCAATGTTGCGACATTTTTGTTAATAGCATCCTAAGTAATAAATATTTCGTAACTTTGAGCCCACAATCGATTCAACAACATCTTAACGAATATAATTGTCAAGTTTTAAACTTAAATATTAATTATTAACAAAGTTATTGTGTAAAATGTAACTGGGGTGCTATAATACCACCTTCTCCTGTATATATTTATATTCTAATTTTATTTTAAATATATAATGCATATTTAGAAATTAATTTTATGCTCGCGTATATATACATACGTGTATAAAACATTATATGATTATATATTATATAAAGTAAAATTAATAAGTAATCACTGCTTACTTTATACAATTTTACATAATTTTAAAGCTGGTGCATAATTTTTGCAGAATATTTTGGATAATTTCGTTCACCACCGCACTAACAGTAGCAATATATTACATTTGTTATATCTATCAGAAATGGAATGGATCTCCCATCATTATTTCTTTGAGCCCTGATCCAATTTCCCTAAATGAATTTCCGTTTCCCTCTGTAACAATATGCAATATGAATAAAATCAAGAAGACAGAAGGGAAGCGAATTGAACGTGGGTAAGCATGCATTAAATTACTAATTAACAGTGTTATTATTCTTTAATAACATCGTCCAACAATCAAATTCTCTCAAAAGTGCGATAGTACATTTCCAAAAAAAGTCTAGGAAATTATTAGAGAGAAAAAAGTGCCATTAAATATAATTATTTTAAAAGTTATGACTAAGAATTACTGTTAAAAATCTTGTGTTTTTTAGGTTCGACGAATTAGATAAACTATTGATGGAAGATCTTTGCAATTCGGATAGTAACATAACTTATGAAAACCATGAAGACCAGGCTGTAAACTGGGACAAGATGCTAAAGTTCATGATCAATGTATATAGCGTTATTTCGTACATTAATAAGCTTTGGATATGTTAAAATATCAACAGAAATAAGAGACATATTTTTTTTATAAGTGCTCAATCGCACAATGAAGAAATCCTTAAAAAAAATTAGTTTCTTCCTTTCTAAGTGAATATGATTTAAACCGTCAAAGACATAAAAAAATGTCATATAAAAGTTGAATGATTTAAAAAAAAAGAATATTTTATAAAAATGAAATATTTTTAATAAAACAATTTTTTTTATTATTATAAAGTACTCTTTTTTGAAACTATTTAACTGTGATCAATATATTTTTAACTTTTATAAAAAAAATTCAAAAATTTGAAACTTTATTAAAAAAATTTTTTAATCACAATTATAAAGTAATATATATATATATATATAGAGAGAGAGAGAGAGAGAGAGAGAAAGAGTTTTTTGAAACCATTCACCTTTTATTTAAAATATTTTTTTATAGATAACTTTGGCGGTTTAGACAATATTTATTCACAAGAGAACCATCGGAATTTTCCCTTATTGGTTTTAATGGGCTTTGGACATGTTATAGAATATCAACAAATATTAGATTTATGTTGTTTTTTATCTTATTTTGAGATTTTGAGATCAAAACAACTCCTGGGGGATAAATTAAATTAATAACAAAATTTGACGTTTTCAAAAAATGTGAATACACACCAAGAAAATGCATAAAACAAGAAAATGCCATAAAACACTTATTATTAATTTTGTTCCCTTGCAAGGAAAATTAACTGAGACAATTATAAAGGATTAAAATCACATTTCTCGATTAATGATTAGATTGAAATCAATTGATAAGATTCAGATTATTCTGTAATTATTTTTATCTCAAATAATAATTATATTATTAGAAAATTATTCTTCATTTCTCTTTGTTCAGGTAACCCAGCCATGCACAGATATGATATATTACTGCCTTTGGCACGGGATTTACACCGAATGTGAAAGGATTTTTAATCCTACCATGACCGACGAGGGTATTTGTTGCAATTTCAACTCAGTAGCAAAAAAACATCTCTTCTATAATTCGTGAGTGATCAACCAAATTGACATAATTGTGAAATTGAAATATATTCTATGACCGAAAATTTCTGCTAAAATTTTATTTCTACTGTTTTAGACTCGATTGGCCTGACTTGAATATAACGTATCCATCTGAAAGTGTTGATTGGAATGCTGAAAAGGGATACGACGAGAGTATGTCGCCGGATGTTATACCATGGAGACCATACGGTGCTGGACTATTCTATGGCTTGACTTTGGCTCTTGATGTTGATATTGACGAATATTATTGTTCGTCGACTGCCGGCGCAGGCTTTAAAGTGCGTTTTACGTTACGAAAACTATTTAAAACTGCCCGTTAAACGAGATTATTAAAGGAAGATTTTGAAAGCATCCACCATTAGAAAAATAGTTAACATACAACGAATTCTTTTTTTTCTTATTAAAATTCAAGTTTATAAATTCTCAGATTGGTGCCATAGAATATGCTTTTTACAATGATGTAATGTCGTTCTCCAATGGAATGACAGTGTTAACTAACATGGTCATGATTCTGCAGATGTTACTCCATAATCCCGTAGAGACACCGAAAATCGCTGATTTCTCGTTCTCAATAACGCCGGGTGAGGAGACCCGGATAATCATAAGACCACGGATATCGCATGCCAATCCATCAATAATCTCTATAGCGCAGAGGAAACGGCAATGCTTTTTCATGTCTGAAAGAAAACTGCGCTACTACCGGACATACACACAGAGGAACTGCATTCTGGAATGCGAGGCAAATTACACACAGAAACTCTGCAACTGCGTGCAATATTACATGCCAAGTAATTATTATTATAACCTTTGATACAAATCTGCGAAAGTGATAAAAAGTTATTTTCAATACATTTATCAGGTATCTAAAATTACATTTCTTAGATAAAAAAACCTTAACATATCTAACAAATACGCCATAAATCATTAAAGAAAAATTGTTTTGAGAAATTTAAGTTCAAATATTGCAAAAGAAATATCTCGAACTTGCAATCTGAGAACAGATGACTTTTCGCATCCTCGGAATCCTTAGTACACATGATTGGGTCATTCATGTTCTGCACATTTCTTTTCTTCGAAAAAGTAGGCGCATCAAGTAATTATAACATAATTTATATCAGTAATATTATATATAATTTTTAAATATATACAACCTTATAAATACTTTCTAAAGATGTTAAAGTACATGTAAGAATCGCTTAATTTTTATACATTTGTTAAAATGATAAAAATTAATCCGGGACACGAATCATGTGTAGTAAGACAGGAAAATCATCGTAAGGGTTCAAACTATTATCATATGTATGCTAATGAGTTAATTTTAAATAAAATCGTAACTTGTTCTCGTAAGACTTATAAGAACTTGGTTGGAACGCTTACAACTTTATGTGGTATTTTTACAGATAGCTTCTTGCAAGCCGTAAGATTTACGAGAAATCGTAGATATTTACAAATGACCATACATCTTACGGTACATATAGAATTACAGCTCCAGCCATAAATTCTATACAAGTCTTACGAGAACAAATTACGAGCCTTACAATTGACATTAGCATACAATAGTTTTAACGTTGACGTTATTTTGGCCTCAGGATGTGGAAAGTTATTTGTTCGTTCTGAAATTACAGGATCTAAATATTCCTTTTACAATATTTAAATTCAAATTTTTCAAAATAATTTTTCTTTAATGATTTATGATGTATTAAGATTGTTAAATTAGCGATGGTAGAATAACGAGAAGCTAAAATAGATTTTTTGTAATCTCTGACTTCAAAAACTTTTTTTGTCTATCTACTAAAGCAATATTATTTGTAGAATCATCCAACACGCCGATCTGCGGCAAGAGAGACGAACCATGCGCTAAACGTGCCAGACAAGCCATGGAAGTCAAACTCTATGATGAGGTTTTGAATAATATTACGATGTGAGTTCCCTCAGAATTACATATTTTTTCTAGAAGCAAGATAAAAAACAACGTCGTTCAAATTGTTCTTTTTTCGCAGACCAAGCTGCAATTGCTGGCCATCCTGCTTTGAGATTAATTACAGGATAGAACTTTCGCAGAACAAACTGGTGCAGACCTTCCAAACCAACAAACAATACGTGAAGAAGGATATAGATTATTTCACGTAATTAAAACTTAATCAGCGCGATTTATCGCGGCAGGTATTCGTTCACGCATATAAAAGATGCAACAGGTTGACATTTAGATTCCAGGGATACAAGATGTCTCGGAAAAAAATACTTAAATAGACTTTATCTTTTATAAACTTTCGTGTTTAAATTTAAGTACAAATGCAGATTTATACGAATTGCGATACGTCCCTGTTTTCCTTAACAAAAATCAGATAAAATTTAAGAAGAAAATCTATCGTTGAATTAAGATCTATTTGGACATCCTGTGCATTATCCGTATTATATCTGACTCTGTCACGAGCTGCATATTTATAGACGTCTTCATAATAAATTTTAATATTCCATTTCTCTTTTTTTCTTGCGTAATTTACAATACTTTCTTAATCCAATTTTTTAATGTGTAGGGAAAACGTGGCGGTGGTTCACCTATTTTTCGTGGACTCTCAATTCACGAAATACATGAAAAATGAGCTCTTCGGATTCATCGAATTTCTATGTAGGTATTTGTTCTTTCTACAAGTGATTATTATTTAGAAAAAAATATTACAAAATGAGGAATTCCAATTTACAGCGAGTACGGGAGGCTTGCTGGGTCTCTTCATGGGCTTCAGCTTTTTGTCGTTCATGGAAATATTGTACTTCTCGACTATACGGGTGTGGTGCCGTTTCCACAATCGCCGAGAATTACAGAGACCCAACGTGTTCCAGACACATCCGTTAGATAACAAGAAAGTGATCTATCCATTCACCAATTGAATTACACGCAGATACCACGTAAATAGCGACCTAGTGGATGAAGTGTATCGTTAGGAGACGTACTGAATGTATCAATTTTAATGGAATATCGATGACTTGACCGACAAAACTTACTTACAGTAAAATTAATTGTATATCTGTTCTTTTTAACTGAACTTTTCGTATCATTCCTTTTTTTTCTTTCTCCAAAGAGAGAAAAAGAAGCAAAATAAACTGTGCAAGAAGTTCAGTTGAAAAGAATTTTATAGATCTTATATAATTTTTCGTTGGAGGTTTTGTGATCTCTAACTCAAGAATAATGATTTTCCAAATTAGTAATAATTCTGATTTCAGAATAATAATTCTTCAAATTAATAATTTGGAAATTATTAATTAGAATTAATTTAATCTTTATATAGAATGTGATAATCTTTAGAATAATAATGAAATTATAATTTTGTGTGCTTGTAAAGATAAATCCATTTTTAGATTTAAAATATTTCAATAAAAAAAATTGTAGTATGTAATATTATACACTTGCCCCTCTCTCTCTTTCTCTCTCTACATTTTTTTTATCCCTATGAGCTTGAGAACTTTCCCTAGAACAGTAATAAAGACTGCTTTCCTTTTAAGAGACACAGTTGACACAAGTATCGTTCTATCTTTGTCACTCTCTGAATGTCCAAGAAGGATAGAACGACGCTTGTGTCGATTTGTGTCATCAAATAGAAAACAGTGAATGCCTTCTCTCTCTCTCTCTCTCTCTCTCTTTCTATCTAGTTTTTTCTTTCTATCTAGAAGTTTCTTGTCGGTTCACATTAAATAAACACATCAAATAAGTCTTCCTTCATAAGCGCGTATTACGAGTAGATATTTTTTGCCCACGCATTATCGATGCGAATGTCAAAAGGGAGTTTTTGCAATACCGTTTATCCAGATACGGTGAACGCTAAGGTGAGGTTATCTTCTTCTCAACAATTAATTAAGAAAAGGATAAAGTGACTTTAGCGTTCATCGTATTTGGATCGTTATGTGCAAAACTCCCTGTTGTATCAACGACCGACGTAATGATCGACAGGTGAAACTTTCAAGGTTTTGGAACACGAAGAAACGCTTTTTACGCGAGGACAACCGAGCTGTCGCGAGCGAGGAACGGATAGGGATCATTTTCGCGTGTCGAGGGCATGGGAATCACGTCTTATTCAACGGTACTTGAGTACCGTTCCGGCGTCGTACGTGGGTCAACAAATCGCAGGGCGACGTGACGTTCATCTCGCCTACGAAGAGACCGGACCTCGCTGTCGATTTGCATCCATGGCCGACACTGTCAACTGCTGTCAACTCGACCGAGATGCGTCGACAGATCGGCCTCGGACATTTCAGATCCGAGAAATCGCGCGACGTGCCAAGAAACACTCCGTCGTCTCGGAGTATTCCGAGCTACTTCACTTCCGCGTCTCGCAGTTACCTTTGCTTTGTTTGCTGCCATTCAAAATCTTGTGAGTATTGACGATGATTGGGCGAACGGCATCGCGACACGCTGGAAATTCCAAGCAATTCCAAGTGAAACGTCACGATGCGAAACTTCTTCGTTGAAGTCGAACTGTCGAAGCACGACGTTACACCAATAATTGCGACGACGCCATAATGCTCAAGCCGACGGCGCACGCAACCAGCGGCCGAAATGACCAATCGCGGCCCAACAGTTTGAAAGTGGCCGCCTAACGTTCTCAACAGCAATTGGACAATTCGCTCGCTATTCACGAATCCTGCTGCTCATCTCACACACGCGGTACACGCGACCAAGACTCTGCGGCCAATCGGCTGTCGCGGAGATGGAAAAAACGCGGGATTTAGAATCCCTACAGCACAAAAGTTGCAGCAACAATGCTGCAACATTGCAGCAATATTACAGCGTTATTGCAACGATATTGCTGCACGTTCTGTGCTGTATGGGAATAAACTCTTTGAGAACCGATTAAATTGATAAATTAATGTCCATTTCTATCAACTTTAATTAACTTTAATCTCGATTTAACTTACTTTATATCTTTTCCCAGTTGTAAGAATTAGAAAAAGTGAAGAGTAAGTAAAACTGAGATTAAAGTTAATCTACGTTGGTAAAAATAAATATAAATGTCTACTTTTATCAATATATATTATACTAACTTCAATTTCCGTTTGATTTATTTTCTATTTTTTCTGGTTCTAAGAATTAGAAAAAGTTAAGACAATAAATTAAAAATCGAGATTAAAATTTATAGAGATATTGGTAGAAATCTAGTAAACGAGAATGGATTGAAATAGATTCCGATTTTCAGAAGTACGCATCTGTGAACATTGAAATGAACCCTTTTCAATCCCAACCTAAGCAAAACAACAAGTCATTATGATATCAAAATGATGTCAAAATGACTTCAAAATGATCATTAAAAGTCATTTTTCAATCATTTCAGATTCATTTTAATGTCACTTTGACGTTATCGTGACTTGTTTTGCTTGGATAGCTTTATTTTTTAAATTTTTTATCTTTCTTTAGTTCTAAGAACTGAAAAAAAATGAATTTAAAAGATAAAGAGTAAATATGCATTTAGAATTAAATACCAGTGCTTTATGCAATTCCTATAAATAAATAAACATGCATTGATCTAATCTAGGCGCGTTTAGAAATTTCATCCTAGAGCACCCAAGAATCATTTCATTCTTATTTAATATTTAGTTAAACGAGGATAAAATAATACTTGGTGTACCCAGGTGAAGTTTCTGGACGCAGCTCTACATTGGTAGAAATGTGGATATGTAATTTCTATCAAATTTCAATTAATTTAATCGGTAATTAATTTAATTGCAGGCAAAATTACTTATAGTAAAATTTCTATATATATAATATTATGTATGTATAATCTTGATTTCTAGCTATAATAATTATAATTTCTAACTGTATAAATTATGTAGGTTCTTCCATTAAGCTTCCATTAAACTTCATCAGAATCATTCACAAAAAAGTCAACAGAATTATTTACAGCAAAGTTTCTAATTATACAGGGTATCCCAAAATTTTTTGCCAAGCGCTTTTGTGTAGATAGAGCGGACTAAACTGAATCGCAAAGTCCTGCATCAGTTTTGCAATTTTTGCAATAGTTAACAAGATATTAATTAGTAAAAATTGCTGAATATTTGGTGTTCAATAATTTTTTTCTCAAATACTATCAACTTTACAGAAAAACTGTAAGAGACAAAAATTGTTTATTTTCTTCTCATAGAACTCCAAGAATTTTTTCAGAATTTTTTATCAACTTTTTAGTGCCTATTGCATTTTCTTATAGTTTTACCAACATGAGAAAATACAATGTTAAAAAATTCTGAAAAAATTCTCAGAATATTATGAGAAGGAAATAAATAATTTTTGTCTCTCGCTGTTTTTCTGTAAAGTTGATAGTATTTGAGTAAAAAATTATTGAAAATCAACATTCAGCGATTTTTAGTAATTAATATCTTGTTATAAGTCCGCTCTATCCACAAAAGAGCGCTTGGCGAAAAATTTCGGGACATTCTGTATATACTATTGGCGATTTTTATCAACTAAATGTCTATAATATTTTGTTAATTTAAATAAAATTATTAATTTTCTATTGTTTGACAAGTAGCAAAAAGAAGGAACGAAAAATTACAGTTAAAATTCTTACTGTAAGTAAGTTCTACCGATTTGAATTAATTACCGACTAAATTAATAGTATATCTAGTCAAAATCGCCCTTACGCGTGAACTTGAATCAGTTAAAAATCAACAAGATACGAGAAGCCACTAACAAGTATCGGTTATACTTGCTTTTAAATGATAAATCTTGTTTTTACATTTGAACTATTATTGGCGCTTTATTAAAAACTTAATGAATATGTCATCGGATTTCTGAGAAAAATGCATTGTAAAAAAGGATGGAGAATATACAAAATAAATCGAATGATACAGTGATATAAAAATTTAGGAAAAGAATTAAGTAATATAAAAAAATTACGAAAAAAGTATTTCACTACTTTCGACTTTAACGAAGATTATTTTGTCGAAATTGGTGTTAAAAACGAAAAAAAAAAAAAACTATTCAAAACCCCCACAGTACAAAGTTGCACAAAAATTGCAGCAACACTGCATATTGCAAGTAATATTGCAGAAATTTTGCAGCGATGTTGCTGCAAATTCTGTGCTGTATGGGAAGCAATAACTTTCTCCACATTTTCCACACTAGGAAGACATCAATCAAGGAATTGAGGAAAATATTCCATGTAATTTTAGAGACATCCAATCCAATTACGAGAAAATCAATCACGTAAAAAAACTGATATTCGTCATTTATAATTTCATAGAAGATGCGTGGAACCTTGATAAAAATCGGGTTTGGTAACGAAATGATAAGTTTGTAAATGGTTATTGTGGCCTTTCGGAATTCTACAAAGTTTTATCTCTCCATATAATCAATGTATAAAATAACACGTATGTCTCTTTCTTGGCACGCACCCGCACGCACGCACGCACGCATCCACACGACGAAAATAAAGGTCACCCAGAGCCTTGAAAAATGAAAATGTCCGTACTCGGACATCATTTTATTATTATCACCTAAGGTCTGATATAATCGTGCGCTAGTTTCCTTTATTCGTACGGTTTGCACGTTACCTAAGCGATAGTCAAGTATGATACACGTTACATTCAAAATTATCGTTCTAGGTATATTGACAGCAGACTAATCTAAAAATGACGTCTTCTTTACGACTTCTTTTTCCTCCCTTCTTTCCCCTTGTATGTAAAATAGCATATACATTATCACACAAATTGTCGGGAACGGCCGTTTCACTTTACACCGTAACTCGCAGCGGACTCTCTGTTATCTAGAATTTTTACTCGGTCTATTTTCAGACGTAAAACATTTATTAATCATTTGGACGAATAAGAGGTTCTACAATCGTCCAAAAAAATACGTAAGAGTTACCAAAAAAACGTCCTAATAAATAAAATATTCTAATAAAATTAATTTCTCTAAATTTATTCTACTT